ATGTAATTAAAATGGCTTGGTCTTACCTCTATGTTTTCTCCTTTCTCTCCTGGGGATTTACTTGAAGTCATTAGGACAGGGGTTCTCAACTTGTGGGTCAGAAGCCTTTTTTGGGGGGTGTCATATCAGCTATTCTGAATATCAGATAGTTACATGACAACTCATGCAGTAGCTAAGTTGCAGTTATGAAGTAGCAACAAATAATTTTATGGTTTGTGGGTTACCACAACATGAGGAATTGTATTAAAGGGTCACTGCATTAGGAAGGCCGAGAAGCATGCATTGGGGGCTCTCTAAATGATTCTAATAGATAGGGTAAAGGCAATTTGAACTTTCAATACACGATGCACCATGGGGGCAGCAAGCAGGTATTTCTGCTTCCTTCCCCAACTGCTAGTGGGGATGGTACAATGTGACAACAGAAAGGAGAAGCAGTAGTAACTGCTGCTACTATGACAACAAAGACACATGGAACTGGTTGGGAAATGAAGGGTTTTAATGTTGTGACAAACAATTCTAGCACTTTCTTGTTCAAACAGAAAATGTGCCCTTCTTATACCTACTTCTCATCTTTACAGGGCTTCCTGTGTAAATTATCCACAGGGCTGCATCTTTACCACTGGATAGAGTAATTGCTATCTGAGTTATTTTTGGTTTTATTAGTATAAGGAAAACAAGAAGAAGGATCTAGCTATGTAAGCCTCCATCAGGAATTAACACATCATGTCGACTCACACTTGACTGAGCAAAGGCCATTCTACCATCACCCTCAACTAGAAGTGGAAGAGTGATGTTTTACATGCCTGGGCCTAAAGACAAGAGAATTAGAACATTTTAATGGGTAGTTGCTATGCGCCATTGGTCTAAAAAATATATGTAGATGTGTTCACATGCATGAATACCCATGTGAATACATACATGTGAACAGATATGTTCATTTATGTATCTAGCATACATGTGGGTGTGCAACATTTATAACATAAACACATCTGTACAGTAGATTCAAAGACCGCAGAGTGTAACAGCGTAGGATGTCAGCACTGTTCTCTCCCAGAAACTTAGTTCACACTGTCTGCACTCCTCATTTGCAGAGTGGGAAGTCCTCAGCACTGGTGTGAACATGGAATTCACATGGCATGGCTGCACAAATGCTCAGTGAGTGCTAGCTATGAGTATCCAAACTAGTTTTAAACATTGTATTAATACAATCAGTAAATAAAACTTTATAGGCTCTGGTCAGAAAAGTTAGATTGTCCTGGAATGAAATTAAGCTCTATAGTTGGCCCATAGTGTCTATGGGTACTGTATCCATATAACTAAGTAACCACAGTGTAACAGCAAAAGTGTGTTCTAGACATGACAGGGTTATTGTGCAGATGAACCGACAGCAGCTGTGACTTCCTGCACACCAATTGTGTGGGATCAAGCGAGATTAAAAAAATCTGAGCATGAGTGGGGGTGTCAGACACACAGATCCACTCCTAGCTAAGGAACTGTTTGAATTGATGGCTTCTAGGAAAGGGAGAGTCGGTTTCCTTCGACGATACAATCTCTCAGAGACTCCAGTGCTCCAATAGATAGTCCTACACTCATGTGTGTGGATCCAGCACTAAGTGCAAAATAGGCTTAGGAAAAAAGGACTATATGAAGTTGGAAGGGGGAAAGCGGCAGTGTTAGTTAGGGACAGGGGGACAATTGAAGGATACCAGATGGGAATAATTTAATCAAAACATACACATTTATAAAATCCTCAAACAATAAAAATTAGAAAAATAAAACTGATTAAATAATGCATCTGTATTACTACTTCAAGGATATTATTCTTTTTTTCAGCATTTTCTTTTTTTAAATATTTTTTAATTAGAAACAAGCTTGCTTTACATGTCAATCCCAGCTCCCTCTCCTTCCCCTCCTTCCCCGCATCTCCCAACCTCTTCCAGGCCCCTACCCAATCCCCACTCCAATCCCCAGAGAGGGTGAGGCCCTCCATGGGAGATCTCCAGAGTCTGTCATTTAGTTCAGGGTAGGGCCTAGGCCCTCCCCTAAGAGTCCAGACTGAGAGAGCATCCCTCATTGTGGGATGGTCACCCAAAGTCTATTTGTGTGCCAGGGATAAATACTGATCTACTACTCAAGGCTCCATAGTTTGCCTAGGTCTCCTCACTAACACGCACATTGAGGGGGTCTGGATCAGTCCCAGGCTGGCCTCCCAGCCATCAGTCTGGGGCCCAAGAACTCCCCCTTGTTCAGGTCAGCTGTTTCTGTGGGTTAAACCAGCACAGTCTTGACCCCTTTGTGTTGGGCCCCAGCCCGATAGGTTCTCTATGAGTTGCTGGTCAGCCTCAGGCCTTCGCCTAACACCAAAGAAAGGGGAAAGAAAGGGGAACCTGAGAGATCGCCCTCAGTTGGAGGATGGATTAAAAGTGGGTGAATTGAAAATTGGTAACAGTTAATAAAGGAGGTACTGGTATTAAGTAAAAGAAAAGGAAAAGATAAAAGTATATGAAATGAGAAATACACAGAGAGTCTGGATACTGTGTACAGTTGTGTTGTCTTTAAATTGTTTAATTGCTAAGAAAGGAACAAAAACTGCTAAAAGACATTTGATTATTAGTGTTGCTAAATTAATCCAACTTGCATGTTTTGAAAATGCTTTGACTTCTAAATTTAAATATAAGGGGAGGTTACCTGGGAAAAGAATTTCTGCTTTTGTTTCCACAGAACATACAAAGCTGTGGGTTCCTTCCAGACTAATATGGTTTGATGAAGCAAGACCACCTGAAGCAGTGGCCCAGGTGATCCAACATCTAAAACAGCTGAGATGATGCAGCCTTACAGACCACAAAAACAAGAACTTCAACAGGTTTCTGGTTTTTTTTTTCTTTTGTCATGATCCCCATGGTATTTCAGTGCCCCTTAACAGCAGGAAGTAGTTTGGAAAGAACGACGCCCAAATTCCCAAATATTGTTTATAAATTGGCACAAACGTCCTAGTCACCTGAGATATGTACTAATTTATATATAAAGAAGAGGGGAGATGTTGGGCCCCAGCCCCATGGGGTCTCTGTGAGTTGCTGGTCAGCCTACAAGTGCAACTTGTTTTCCAGTCCAAGTGCTTTCTGTTTTCTAGACCTGGCTTACTGCCCCGGCCTTGACCCTCTGACATCAACATTCAGCAGGAGGAAAACAATGATCTCTTCTACCTGGGGTTTTTCCACTGTTAACCTGTATATAAAGCTCCTCCCTCTTACAAGAGAGAGACCTCTTAGCACTTGCAATGAAGACATACACACACACATTCTCCTGGCAATAAAGACAGCACATGCATTCTCTAAGTACAAACAGCTGGGCATCTGGTCTCTCTTTTCCTGATACCCTGGACTTGCTTGTGGCGCTGGCACCGCACCTTTGCTCAAATGAATATTATTCTTATCCTCATTCCATGATCAGTAAGTGTAACAGCTCTTCATATTGTATTAGGCAGTAGAGGGAATCTGAGATATTTGACACATGATTGGATTCTCTAGGTTATATGCAAAAGTACCACAGCATTTTATGTAGGGATACCTAGAGCAGTCTCCTAGATAGTTCCCTATGGATGTTGAGGGAGAATATGTTACCTAGTCTCCAAGTCTTGTCTTCACATCTGCTCAATTCCCTATCCTTAAGCTTTTCTCTGCAACCCTGTAGCACTTAACACTCTTCTCCATGCCTTCTGGTTTTAACAGTGAACTATTTAATATTGTAATAGCCTAATAAGAATTTCCTAACCCTGAGAGCGGGGTGGTCACTGACTCTTTGATGTTCTTATAGGACTCTTTATCTTCTACTGGGTTGCCTCACCAAGCCCTGATGTGATGTACCTTGTATTATAGTAGCATATTATGCCATGTTTGGTTGATGTCCCTGGGAGGTCTGTTCTTTCTGAGGGGAAAGGGAAGGAGGTTGGATCTGGAGGACAGGGGAGGTGGGTGGGGAGAAACTCCTGGGAGGGAAGAGAATACTTACTACCTAACATTGTAACACACACACACACACACACACACACACACACACACACACACACACACACACAGGTGAGGGGGAGAATGGAGAGAGAATCAGTTAGCACACTAGCCTCATTCCAAATGTGGAGAGTTAGAAAACAGCAGCAGGTATTTCTCAAAAGGTAAAAAGCTGGATCTTATCTACTGACACTGTCAGGAGTTGTAGGACATCTATAGTATGCTTGGCATCTGAAAGGGGAAGGAGTGTTAAGGAGGAGAGACTGAATATGGGAAGCTTACTGAAAGGATTTTTGGGACAGTTCAAGTTGTTAGTAATGATCTGCAGGACTAGAGAGGTGTAGTTGGTGTTAGTATTCAGGCTCCTTTACTGGCCTGTCTGTGGGGTTCTGACAAGATATGCCCTCAGCTGCAGCCACGAAGAGCACCACCTGTGCACATTCACTCTGTTCCCTTTTAACAGGGCCCTGCCCACCTCCCAGTCTCCCCCTCTCCTTCTGCCCCCTCTCTTTCCTCTCTCTTCCCCTCTTTCCTTTTTCCTGTCTCCTACTGCTCCTGTCTCTGGAGGTCAGTCTTCCTCATCCTTTCCCCCTTTTTATAATCCCTTTTCCTAATAAAAACCCCCTCTGCTTGAACCCTGTGGCATGGCATCTTTCTTAGTCCCATCAACTCTGGCTTTACATAAATTTGAAGTTACATACAGGTGTGAGGAAGACCAAAATTGTCCTGAACCCGCTGTCTATAGAATCAGGTTGCCTGAGAGGATGGTGATGCCAGCTTTAACACCTGGGATGCTCAAAGAAAGAGCTGGTTTGGGAAGAGATGTAAAGAATTATTTATTTCTAGTATTGCCTTAGAAATTGGGAGAAGCAATCGAGCAGAGCAACCCGGCAGGTGTCGGGCATTCCAGAATCTGGAACTCAGGGGAGAGCATTGGCTGCACTTGGACATTTGTTTATAAATAGCAGATGGTGGGAAGTTACAGAAGAAGAGTAGGGATGCTTTCTGGAGGTGGAGGGAAGAAGACATGAGGAGGATTTTCAGATAAATATGAAATCAGGGAGACGGGCCTAAAAGTGGCAGGAAGGAGAGGGACAGATTCTAAGAGTTGGCAGGGCTGTGGGTGCCAGACTGTGTAATCAGGACTCATCCCATAAGGCTCTGATGAGACACAGAAGGTCTCAGAGTCGGAGATTGCCCTGGGAGCCAAAGGACAAACAGTGACACAGAATGAATGCGTGATCTATCACAGATGGGGACAGAGACGAGGAAGAGCTAATCAGGGCAGAAGACTCACTCAGTATGGGGAATACAGAGCTTGACTGGGGCTTGAGCATTTCCTAACACCTGTAAGAACGGTCTCAACAAGAGTCAGGGAGGTAAAGTCGAGGTGACTGAAAGTGATATTGCAGGTGACACAGCAGAACATGAAGACTGACATGGAAGAAGGTGTAAGGTAGAAATAATCTAGAGATATTCTGAGGGCTGGGAGAATGAACAGAAACACTTTGGTAAGAGGAGGGGTGGGATTTGAAGTGCCATTTTTAGAATTTTTGCTGGTAGTAACTGTCTTGGATTAGACCTGGGTTAATTTGAGAATGTTAAAGTAAAAAGTCTATATTTATTTTCCGTGTTTTTGTTTTAGAGGAGTTATGGGCAGTCAATAGTGCTTCATGCCAGGAACCAGTTGGAACCAAGCATCTTGCACATGGCTGGTATATGCAGCAGTTAAAAAATGCATAGGTAATCCGTGTTTGTTTTTATTTTGTTATTATTTGATTTGTCTCGGCGGCTGGTCATTTTCCTCCCTTTAGTAATTACCCACTGGATGTTAAAATTAAGGAGTAAACTTGTTCCCGAAAAGGCATTCTGTGTCACAGTGTTTTTATCTGCACTGTCAGGCTCTGAAGCTGAAATAAGAGGTTTCCCAAGTCCCCCATTGCAAGGGAAATAACTACAATTAAAATGCCTCAAACATCTACAAGTCCATGTACATTCTCTTTAAAGCAAAGACCCTTTAGTTTTTATGATGAGTGCCCCTTAGAGAGTTAGCACTCACCCAATGATCTTCAGTGGACTCGTAGCACGTTTTCTCTTGTATCATGTGTTCTTTCTCTCTTCCTTCAACATAGACTCTCTAATTTCCTGCATTTCCAGTAGGAATTGACCATGAATTATTATCAGTGTTAAGAAACACACTGTGTCAGCGTACAAATCTTTCTCTTCCCCTCTGCTTATCAAAAGCAAACAGCTTTTATTTTTAGTGCCAAGTAAAGATTGGGAAGGAAAAAAAAAGTATGGAAGGGTGTGGAAGGAAGAAGAGATAAGAGCAATAGAAGTTATGGGGAGGTTGAGAAAGGACAGAGTGAAGGCAGGGGAAGGGCAGAAGGGGTCAGATTCATTGGGAAATGAAAATAGGATGCAGAAGGGGAGAGAGGCTCCTAGACTATGAGGCATAGGTGATCGCTGCCTTGATGGACAGGGCTCAAGGACAAATGAGGAGAATGAAGGATTGGCAGTTTCAACTGATGGCAACAACCTCGCGCCATGACTGAATTTTTCCTATTTAGGAACGCCAGCCAACGAGGTCTGTGAAGAGAGGAGACAGTCTGTTGACTGCTTAATGATTTATAACAAGTACACGGGAATGCCATTAAAAACTAATTCATCACCCACGGGCTACATGATTTGCAAACATCTGCTCTGCAACAGGCTTCTCTTGGGAAGAGAATTGCGATGGGTTGAAAGTTCTTCTGCTTGTAGATACTACACATGGGAGTTATGATACAGGCTCCAGCATTCAGGTCATTGGCTGTCCAGCCAAAGTGATTAATTAGGGTGGTGCTTAGAGGTTGCCTTTTGATCTACCATGCTCATGTGCTGAAGCCTTCCCCTTGGCTGAATACTCTCCTGAGTGATATGCAAATTAAAACATGGCTGCCCCCTCCCTACTCTGAGGGAGCTGTTCACTGAGATGACTAAGCTTCCTAGACATGATAGGTCTCTAGCTTTAAATCTACCGATGTGACCCTCTGTCAGTCAGAAAAATCCCCAAACAAATGAGTTCTTAGTCTAAATGTGGTCATTTTTCATGCTGTCTACTTGGCAGTGGCTCATATTCTTCTGACATTGGCCTTGCTTATTTTCCTCAAAACCTGCAGGCAATTTCATTGCAGACAATTCTGAAATTTACTATTCCAGGTCAAATCTTAAAGCTCTTGATGCTTAACCCTGGTTATCCTGTGTTTATCTATATGTTAACCTATGGGCATTATAGGCAGGTTTCAATACGCTTATAGCTTCCTATTATTGTGAGTTGCATAGTGTTTGCCTTGAAAATGTGCTAGTGTAGTGTGCTAGTGTAGTAACCTTAGAAGGCAATTTTATTTGAAAATGGGCTTGCTGCAGATGTAACCAGTTAAGATGATGTCATACTGGAGTAAGGATCCTCTCTAATGTTCTTATAGTTATAAGAAGAGGAGGGAAGGACTAGGGATATGGATTACTGAGTAAGAACACTTCCTGTACAAACAAAAGGACTTGAGTTTGAACATCTACCACCTGCATACAAAGATAGACATGGCCACATATGTGCACACAACCCCAGTGGTTGATGGAAGGAGACAGAAGGATTTCTGGGGATTACTGGCTACCAGACTTTCTTCAGAGTCAATAAGAGATGTGTCTCAGGGAAATAAAGTAGAGAGTGATATAACAGGACACTGAATGTTCTCCTCTTGGGAACATGTATACACACACACACACACACACACACACACACACACACACACACACACACGGGTACATATTTCCCTACATCGTACATACTTACAGACACGAAGTAAAGAAGGGGAGAGAAATGCAAAATTAGGATGATGATGACATTCAAAGTTAGAAACTGAAGTAATATATTTAGAAGAAAAATCAAACCAAAACAAAACAAATAAAAAACAAATAGACATCACCAAGGATTGCCAGAAGCTAGGATCTAGAAGAGATAAAGGGGGATTCTTCAAGAGAGAACACCAACCTATAATGGAATTCTAGCATGAAAAATTGTGAGCTGATGTATATCTGTGTATTCCATTTTGTGGTATCCATTTTTGTGATGCTTTCTTAAAGATACCCCCACCAGAAACTATTTTTATCCTAGTTTGATTGAAGGTCCTTTGTAACATCAGGGAGCAGCTTCGTCAGCCAAAACTCAGAACAACATGGAAGTCACAGAGTGTAAGAAGTAATCAATTGGATTGACTTTCTTAAGCAACCTGTGGTTTGGAGGGAGTATTCTGAATCTCAAAGAGATCTTAGAGAGTTTAAACACCAGAAAGAAGATGAAGGCAGCATAAACCAAGGTGGTAGCAGGCCAGTATAAGGAAGTCATTAGATATTATTTATGGACTTTGAAAGTAGCATCAAAATATTTCTTGGTGGCTGCAATAGTGGTTGTTGTTGTTTTGCTGTCAGAGAAAAATTTCCTGAAAGTTTCCAAGAAAATAGCATGGACTATGGAAAAGATAACAAAACTATCAGCATTCATAGAGAGGGCTAGAAGGGTAATAGGCTTTGCTGTATGTTTTTGATGAGCATTTAGGATTAGGAACTTGGTCTGTTTCAACACTGTGGTAGATCAACTATGTTGAGTTATTAAATAGTGTTGAGACTCTGATAGATTGTGAGGATGTTTAAAGTTGGGTTGACTGCAGTTTTGCATATGATATGGCTACCAGCCCATGGGGGCCAGGAAGTGGAATGTGGTGGTTAGAATATGAATGACCTCCATAGGCTCATACAAGTGTGGCCTTGCTGGAATAGGTGTGGCCTTGCTGGAATAGGTGTGGCCTTGTTGAAGGAAATGAGGTACTAGAGGTGGCTTTAATTTTCAAAAACCCATGCCAAGCCCAGTCTCCTCTCTCACTCTCTCTCTCTCTCTCTCTCTCTCTCTCTCTCTCTCTCTCTCTCTCTCTCTCTCTGTCTCTCTGTCTTTCCTGCTTGCAGATCAGGGTCTAGAACTCTCAGCCACTCCTCCAACACCATATCTGTTTGCATGCTGTCACTCTTCCTATTATGATGATAATGTACTATCCTCTGAAGCTATAAAAGCTTTCCTTCATTAGGGTTGCCTTGGTCATGGTGTGTTTTCACAGTTGTTGAGTAGTGACTAAGACACTTCTTTATTTCATATAAAAAAACCCCATCATCTCACAGAGGTTATGTCACTTAATCAATGTCCTGAGGGTTTGGGATTAAATTCTGCCCTGGCCCTTCAGTACATGGGTTACCCATGCTTCAGCTTCTCAACTGTTTTTTCTCTGTGTAGCTCTGCTGTCCTGGAACTCATCCTGTAGACCAGGCTGGCTGACTCAGAGATCCTCCTGCCTCTGCCCCCTGAGTGCTGGTATTAAAGGAATGTACCAACACTGCCTGACCATTTCTCAATGTTTAAAGAATCAAAGTAGCTATTTTTTCCTATGGTTACCTCAGTAAGATAATGTATCATGACAGCACAATGTCTGGCAGATAAATTTAAAAAAATACCAAAAAAAACCCTGGTTGATGATAGTCATTTACTGAGTGCCAAGTACTATCTGCATGCTGGAGGTTTAGAAAAAAGCAAAGCAGACAGACAAAATCATTATCTCTATGCAGGTTATAGTTTAGTAGACAACAGACCAGATAGCAATAATAACTGGACTGTAAAGTAACTAAAAAAGTTTAAGAAAATGATAGATGTGCTTTCTCTACCTCTCTCTCATACATAATATATATATATATTATACGTTTGTGTGGAAAAAATCTGTTTTTCAATGTTAGTTTGACAACAAATATGAATGGGAAAAAATTATCATAATACTTATCATTAACACATTACCACCATTGCCAAAATCAGTATTATCACTATCACCATAACCATTGTCACCATTTATATCACCACCATCATCATCACTACTGTCATAATCAGCAACATCATTGTCATCAAAATTATCACCATCATCATTATCTCTATCACCATCATTAGCACCATCTCCATCACTGCCACCACCACCACCATCCTCATCATCATTGTTGTCATTAGTAACATCATCATTATCACCATCATCACTTTCTTATCACAGTTGGACAGAGACATTTGAAGCTCAAGTTACCACTGTGATAGCAAACCATAGCTACCTCCCAGTGGCTGGAAAAAATGCAATTTACATTCAAAAACAAACAAAACCTTTGAAAGTATAGCTAAGTAAGTAAGTAAGTAAGTAAGTAAGTAAAAATGGATCTTCTTTTTTTAAAAAAAGGAGTAAATAATACCCTAATGTTTGGAAAAGTGGTCATTTCTAATTCCTTTATTCATGGTCACTAGAGTATAGAGTCTTATCTTTTCTTCTGGAATATATGAATGAAACCATTCTGACGGTAGAAGTTACTGTGAAACAGTCAATATAGTACAAGCATGAGGAACACAGTGCTTGGGATCACAGAGAACTAAATAAAATTGCAGGGTAAGTACTACAACTATTAGTTATGTGACTTTGTGACAACGATCAAAACCTGCTCAAAAGTGAGTTCCAGGAAGTTACTTCTTCTGCCCTGAGCAACATACAGTATACACAATGGGGGTATTTAAATGGTTGATATGTAAGAATTCAACTCATACCTTGAAACTTCAATTTCCATATTTAAAAAATAAATATTTTCTAATTAAATTAGATAATGATTACCAACACATAATATAGTGCTTTAAGCATAGTAGGTTTATCATTCAGTATTTATAGGATGCATTAAATATGAATATGAATGAATGAAGACCACCTATAAAAGGGCAAGAATATATATGGAGGGCAAGGCTAGAAAGATTTTTGGAAGTAAACATAAAATATAGACCACATAACAAAGCCTATGTCTGAGAGATTTGAGGATGATCTCTGTCTTCCTGTTATTAATAAAGGTTTAGATTCATTTAGTACTTATGTACTAAATATACATTCCAGGACTGTATTACATGTGTTTTCATCTATATAAATACATAAAAAGATCATAGCTGAATCAGGTAGGTTTGGTTGTGATCAGATGTATATATCTGATATAGGACACTAACGTTTGAATAAGTCTTTAACCTTGAAGATGCAAAGTAGTATTGACTTTTAAATAGATCAGTTTTGATACCAGCCTCCTAGAGTGAATGTGATATCATGTATTTATCCACAAATTTAGGTATCTCCATTTCATACTAACTCCTCCAATTAACAACCTACCCCTTGGGCTTTTCTACCCACCAATTTTTAAAAATTTAAAAACTCTGCATACTTTTTAAAACTGCTCAGACAAAGAAACAAACAAACTGATAAAATAGTTATTAAATTAAACACACAAATATTATAAAGTGGAGATGATGTATATACTTCATGATTTTCAAAGAATTATTTGAAGTAATTATTGTAATATTTTCTCCCTTACAACATGTCATAAATAGGCATTTGAGACTTCCCAGTACATGCTATTCAACTGCAATAAATTAATTTATTGCAATTACCAATAAATCCTCATATAGTCCTTGCAGCTTATCCAGAGCATTTATATCCATTTTATGTGCAATTTATAGCAATGCCAAGAAATCACTGTGATTTTCCCATACAAGAAGATGAAGAAATCAACATGGGAGAGTCATAATGACTTTATCAAGTCTCTGTGTCGCTAAAGGATGGGCAGAATTAAGTCACACATTGTCAGACCTGGACACAGAGTTCCCAAACTTACCAAGCTGTCCTATCAGGCTCTCTTGGGCTTAATGGGCTCAGTTAGAAAAATTGTAATGTATGTATACATGAGTTCATTCGCTATATTGTTTTAAAGCTAGATTCTGGATGTGGACATAAGGAACAATGGCTTCTTTCCATTTGTAGAGAATATTTTTTGTATGATATAAAGTCATGAGCCCTTTAAGGGACCATTGATCTAAGAGCATCATAGAATTAGAAGGCTGTGAAAGGATGAAGATGTTAATCAGAGTATGAAAATTTTAGAGGAATTAATGCAGTTAGTCACTTATATGCTAAGGTAGTTCTTTACTTATTAGGAAAAGTTGCTTTAATAAGGAACTTCTGTATGTGGTTCTTAATCTCCTCCCCCCCCCCATAGCCTTCCTTTGTATCCTGGAAAAATGACTCCAAAAGACCACTTCAACCTCCTCTTTCCTCTTCTGCTCTAGATTGGATTTAGCCAGTGGGAAACAATGGCAGAAGATGAAAAGAGAGAAGCAACGGAATTTTTCAATCTAAGAGAAAGAAAAAAAAAAGTAAATGAAGTTATAACTTTATCCTTGAAAGTAGAAAGGCAGACAAAAATTTGGCCAAGTAGTGATCATTAAACACTGTAAGGGACAGAATTCATAGCTTCTACCATTTTAGCCTAATTTTATGCATGTATTTATTATCATGTGTTTCATAATCTAGAAATGTTGTGATTTTAACAGATAGCAGAGTGTTAAAAAGGAGAAACACATGAATTTTCATGGTGTGAGCTTAATGCGTCAGCTATTTGAGGGTGAGCTGTATCATACAGAATCCTGTTTTCATAAGAACCACAGGGAGATGCTTGTAGATTAGATGAAGTCACAATCATACATCTCAGCTTTCCCAGGGCTGTGGCAATATGACTTTTGACATTAAAGCCATGGAATCCTGGCAAACCAAAACAGTTTATAATCCATCTTGAGGATGCAAGCAAGGCTATGGCTCAAACTACTTGTTGCTAATATGCTCACCCTGATGATGTAGAGTACTGCCACAGGACCGTGAGTATTCTATATCCAGTACCTCTTTATCAGCTCTCTGACTGCTGTGTTAGATATACCCCACTTCTCCAGAAATGTCTGCTACTCCTCCAAACAAGTCACCAGCCTGTTTGATGGATCTTAGCCCTTCTAATTGCTCATAATACATCTACCTCCTCGCTTAAAGGCCCCGCATGCCTCAAGCCCTTAAGCCTGATGCCTGTGTCAGTTGGTAAATAGTAGTTTAGAAGGTGAGGAGGGACGTGGGTATTTACTTCTATTTCTCCAGATTTGAAAATTGTGCCTGCATGGGGTAGGTAAGTAATAAAACTTTGCAAAGGAACAGGTGAATGGAAGGATTGCTGGCTAGATGATTGGGAACTGATGTGAAAAATCATCATGTTATTTGTAAGGTGACCTACCTTGGAAGAACTGGTTTGCGAAACTATGTCTGAGCTTTTAGTCCCGGATGTTTGATGCCACAATGAAGCATGTCCTCATTCACCAAGAAAGGCAATGCAAAAAAGTTTGTTTAGAAGAGAGTACCTGACTATTGTGCATGTCAAGAGAAAGAGATGGGCATCCTGGGACTTTTCTTCTTCCATTTAATATTTATTGGCCCCGAACAACTTTCTGTTTTTGTATGTAATGCGAAAGTATATGCTGACTTTGATAATGAACCCCCTGCTTGTAGATAGCTGCTTCATAAAAACTACAAAGAGAAGAGTCATGCTGGGAATTTCCATCATTGTTATGCTTTCCTCTTACTGAAACATGGGAACCAAATTATCTGCCTTTTCTATCAAACAACATTTGCCCAAGTAATCTCTGCCCTGAATTCTGTTTTTCTTCATCTAAATCCATGTCGTTATGCATCATTCAAGTCCTGAAAATGCAGTAAGTGTAGAGACTGAAGTGCACATCAGCCATCATTGATCAACATAATGATTCCAAATGTATTTGATATAAAATAAATATTCTAATTTTGCTTACTCTTCAAGTTTTTCCTTGCAAGCAGAGGAAAGCCATGGTGCCTTGGGGAACTGAAAATTTGCAGTTCTCTGCACTTGAAACACATAATGAGTTGGAACCAGTGGTTCCACACTGCCTGGGTATGGAGAACACTGAGTCCCTGTTGTCTGTATGGGATGTGCAAGAGACAAGGTCAGAGACAGAGATCAGGGGCCAGCCACTCAGGAGCCAGTCACACTGACATGTGCTTCCTGGTCTACTCTCCAAATAATGAATAATAACAGACACTTTACAGAGACCAACTGTTTGACAGACTGTCATTCATGCAGAGTAGTCGAAAAGAGCATTGTACTGGGCATTTTAATACCTACACTCAAGAATTTTCCCAGCCCCTGGAAACCTTAGTGACATTGCAAACATAGTTATTTTTTCCCTCAGGATAACAATATTTTGCCTCATAATGAAAGTGGGTGGATATATATATATATCTTAAAATTCAAAGTAGATTCTGCTTCTTTGAAGCTGAGGGACCTGGATTAACCTTATGTTTTATATTCTGTAGTCTATGGATTTGTGGAGCTTGGGAACATATTCTTGGGTGCTAGCATGCTCCATAGGACTTTTATAATATCATGCTTTAAATTAAGATTAATAATTTTGAAAAGTTTTAAAGCTGCTATGAGTATGGAAACCCAGAATGAACACAACTGTCCACATCTGTATGACTGCCCTCTAAGTTTCTCAGTGTCACCTTTTGTGTTGACTACCTAAAGTAGGATATCAAAGTTTGAATTTTCCTTTTTTTCTCTCTCTCTTTGACCTAGATAAGACCTCAAGTTTGGGAATCAGTGGAGGAATAATCATGTCTTTCTCTATCATTTGACTTTGTGAAATGACTAAGAGTGATCGCTCTCATTCAGTCATTGGTACATTTGCATATCCACAGCAAACCATATACTATTCCACTCTCTGAGGTAAGCAGGATGTTGAACAGTCTCCAGATGCCCCTGGAATTCTACAGCTAAGATACACATATTTATAAGGATGTACTGGACATCTAGATCTCTCTCTCTCTCTCTCTCTCTCTCTCTCTCTCTCTCTCTCTCTCTCTCTCTCTCTCCTCTCATCTATCTACCGGTCTTTCTGTCTGTCTGTCTGTCTATCATCTATCTATTTATCTATCATCTATCTATCCATCACAGATCACGTTATCTAGCATCTCTCTTTTTGTCTCCCTCTCTGTGGCTTCTTCTGTCATTCTCCACCTTAATTTTTGAGACATCTCTAACTGAATATGGAACCCATTAGCTCAGCTAGGCTGACTGGGTAGTGTGCTCTAGGGATACCTCTGTCTCTGCCTCTCTAATGCTGGAATACTCTTCTGTATCTGGCTTTTTTCAGGTGTGTTGTGGGGATGAAATATGATGACCCAAAACAACTAAGAGAGGAAAGGATTTATTTCTCTTACACCTCCAGATGATAGTCCACCATCAAAGCCGTCAGGGTCGGGACTCAAAGCACAAATCTGGAGGTGGGGACTGAAGCGGAAGCAATGGAAGAACCCGGTTCCTGGCTCTCTCTCCCTCTGGTTTGCTCTTTGCTTTCTTATATGCTCCAGAGCCGCCCAGTTCTGCAGTAGCACCACCCACACTGGACTTGCTATTCCACAATAATCATTAATCAAGAAAATGTGCCCCAAACTTGCATACAGGCCTTTCTTACAGGGACATTTCCTCAGTTGGAGTTCTTCTCAGATGACTGTGACTTGTGTTAGGCTGACAAAACTAGCTAGAGCACCAAGTTTGCTTTAAAACACTCTTTCATTCCATGTTTCCAGGGATCAGGACATTAATGAGACCTGATGTTACTAATCATTTACTGCATACTGGACACTTGGAGCTTCTGTAGCTAAGAGAATGGTGGTGTGTTTGCTTCGCTGAAGCAGATGCCTATAGGCCAGTGAACCTGAGGTACAAGAAAGAGCGAGACAACATCTCAAACAGAAAAAGAAACACAGCAAGGCTTATATGTGAATTCTCAGCAAATTGACTTCACATTTCTGCATTTTATCCCTATGCATTAGGCAATATGTCCTCCTTTTGTGTTTATTAAGAAGCTCATATTTGCAGAGGAGTCAAGAAACATGAGCAGCAAAAATATACTAAAAATGGATGTGTGAAGCCCTGAGTTTAATTATCATTTCTTTGGATAAGTTATAATTGTTATCTGTTGTCAAGCATGGATCAACAGATGTGAGGGACACTGTCGCCTGTAAATTCTATCCAGAGAATAAATGAATGAATACCAGGGAAGTCCCTTCACATGGGCTCCAGACATATTCAACAGCATCTGTGTGGAAAGGTTAGGTCCCTGTGAGCCCTGGCAGGCAAGCTCCTATGGGTTAGCACAGATGACCAAGCTCAAGGATGTCTGTTAGTGGAAGGAATCTTTTGCCTCAGAGACTGATGAAAGGTTGTGAGCCATGGAGAAATAGGAACAGGAACTTTTACAGCTTGGGTGGGAGCAATGTGAAAATAGAAAACATCTGTAATCACATTGTGCCTGGAGTTTGAATGAAGTCAGACTTTAGAAGACACACAGGGTGCCTATGTAATCCATCTGCTGATGTTTGGGTTGCCAGAAAATAAAAGTATGCACAGAAGACAAAATGAAGTAAAACCATAGAACCCATGCTCAATAACCTCTTGTTGCTGTTTTCCCTGATGTCAAGACACATTTTTTAAAATCTTCCCTGTCTTAGGAAAATAGAATACATTTGTATAAGCTTGTCCTGGTATGAACTTATATTTATTAGATCTGTCTCACCGGTTTATATGTGCTTAAGCATTGTCTTTCCAATGTATTTGAGGGGTAGGCTCTTCTATACTGTTTTAATCTATTGACTTCAACACTGTGACATAGCATAGATTCTGTGGCAGTCATATTTGTGACATGCTGGGGACCTAATGGCAAGTGTGACAGGTGAGGTACTTCCAGCATGAGCAAGAATGAAAGGAATATAGGACAGCAGTGTCAGGAAAGGGGGAAACTGTGTAAGGAATCTTATAACAAGGTTCATGGACAGGCTTCATGGATATTTTTCATGGAATCAAAGAGGTTATAGCAGTATATGGAGAAACAATGCTGTGTGGGAAGGTACAGCTTGCTTTGGATATTTGCAAATATTCTGAGCTAAGTAAGGAATTCATGGAAGTATGTGTAGTGGTATGGACCTAGAAGAATACGAAACAAGAAACCATTAGGCTGGGAGAGGAGTGGTATCTGAGCAGATTTTTCAAGGAAAGCTCATTCGGCCAACTCCATGATGTCAGTCACCTGGGCCATGACTCAAGAGAAAGTGTACATTAAACAAAGCTGTATTCAGACAGGCTCCCATCTAGACATTTTGTGTGATACAGGGAGATTTATGTCATTTATATGAGCATCAGTCTTTCCATCTTTTAAGTAAGAACATTAGCTTTTCTTTTACAAGATTGTCCTGGAAGATGTAAAGAATGTAAAACAAAAATCTGATACATACACAGAGTAGAATTTGAGTTATTAATCACTGGAGTCCCATAGTCTCCAAAGCATTATAGTTTATTGCCATTTCTGTCATTGACCATCCAGACACCAGAGTGTAAGTTCCCTTTGCTGAATACAGCACACACATGAGTTGTAGAACATGGCAAAATAAATCTTGCAACCTCCATCTTTACTGCACAGATTTCATTGTGCTGGAAAGTTCTATGAACACTACAGAAAGAAAAAAGCAATTCACAGTCTTATCCAGATGTAAAACCTGTAAACTATAACAAGGACTGCCTAGTAAGGTATGGCCACTGCTGTAATATTGGCACAAATGTTATGGGAGTAACCAGCACCTTTATGCTGGTATTTAAGGATCAATTCACCATTGTAACTCATGCCTGGTCCAGAGATAACTGTGCCCAACATCATAGCAACTTATGCCATAGACCTTAGGGGATAACCTACTACTATTATTCTGTTGAGTGAAGATAGCAAAACATCATTTCCTATGTTGTTATACCCATTGGTTAGTGCATTTCTCAGTTCTCATAATAAAGCTTCCATTTGTAGTAGACGGCAGTCATTACCAAAACTTACAGTTGACTGACATGCAAAGAATAAAGTATTGTATGGTTCTCAGCACTAAATGGGATATGTATACTACTTTGTGTCCCCTACCCTAGGCCCAGAGATCATGGTGGAGAAGGGGCCTTTGAGACTTAAGAGCCAGAGAGGACTGCTGTGAAACTGTTTTCTGGACCCAGTTGGGTGGTTGTGAAATGAACTCAGTACTGAGTGGCTGTGGCTGTTGTTAAACACAAGGCATGTACAGGATCCAGCTAGCCAAAATCCCAGGATGGGTGGGGAGAGTTTCATAACAACCCTCTCCATCTGAGAAGCTATTGACAACTGTTGACTGAAGGGGCAAGGAGATTGTCATTTTTCTTCAAGGACATGACAATTCATACACTTCTTCTGCTCTGGTAGATGGCACTATGCACCTGCCCCTAGTCAGTAGGTCCCTCTGTAGAAGTTGGGAGAAAAAAGTGATTAGGGAGGGGATATGAGAAGGACTGTAGAGAAGGGAGTGGATGATGTATTTGATCAAAACAGATATTTGCATATGAGATTCTCAAATAATTTTACAGGAAGATGAAATTATGAAACCTGAAGAAAAAAACATGGGTTTGGAACACATATTAAGTGAGGTAACCCAGGTTTATAATGACATACTTTGTCTTTTCTCTCATAGGCAGGTGCTAGCCTCTAACTTTTATATATGTATAGTAATGTGAGAGAAAGAGTGTGTGTATGAATAGAGGTTATAAAAATAGAAATGGGCCCGTAGGGTCAGAAGGTATTAAGAAGACAAAGTGGGGGGGGGTTGTCACATAGGATCTGAAAGTAGAAGGGACATTACTGGGGTAGGAGGAACATTCCTGGGATAGGAGGGTAAAAGCTAGGATGGAGGGCAGGGATATGGAGAGAGGTCTGTGAGTGGAGGTGGGGTGGGTGAGCATCAATCAAAACTACACATGAAATGTCAAGGAAACCTGTTTGTTTGTATGCTAATTTAAAAAAGAAAGGTTGGCATGAAAGAAACAACTGAGGTTTCTGGCACATGCAGTGTGAGTCTCTGCACTGGGCTTCACGATAGCATTCAGTATTTGAAATGGTGACTCAACAAGATGACTCTATAGGTAAAGGCACCTGCTGCCAAGACTGATGACCTTAGCTTGGTCTCTGGGACCCATGTGTTAGAAGGAGAGAATCAAATCCTGAAAGTTGTCTTCTGACTTCCACCCGCGTGTGCTGTGGCATATGTACACATTCTATCTGTGTATGCGTCTGCCTGTCTTTCATCTATCTATGCTTTACATTATGTATTATATAAAATGGGCTGAATACAATTCAGTACAACAAGGATTAACAAATTATAGATGGTCATGACCACTAATGAAAATGACATGGAGAAAATCTCTATCCTTTGAAGAATGTCTTCTTCAGTAGGAAAGGGAATGGAAGGCAAGGGGAGATGAGGCAGAAGGTTACAGGGAGAGGAATAGGTGCACGCCAGATGCGCATGGCAGGTGCTTCACCACGTGGTGCTATGAGGGAGAGCAGCACCTACTCTGTCAAGAGACTTTTTAATAGACACTCCATTGAACAGGTGTCCTATGCGGTATAACTCTCCAGGACCCCAGAGAACAAGTCAGAACCCCAGTCTTAGGGGCCAGTGCTCATTATTTTCCTGTGTCCCCCTGAGCCAAGGAGCAATAATTCTTTCTAAGCTGGCTCCTGAACATGCAGTTAATTTAGATCTATTGAGTTTACAGGGATTACCTTGCTTCCTTTGTAGTAAATAAAGCTATAAACAGCCGGTGCAATTGATTAATGGCTCCAGGCAAGCTGCAGCATTTGATCAATGACAAAAGCTCTTCCTCAGGTACAGCATAGAGCATAGAAGAGCCCAGGGTGAAGAGCATGGCCCAAGGCAGAATGGCAAGTGCAGGGTAGCCTGAGGAGCTTCATTCTGTATGAGATACTTGCTACCAAGCCTGGACAAAGGCTTTGTGAACTTCCGCCATATTTCTTGTTTGGCCTTTGCTAATTTGGAATGTCTACATTTTAAAAAGTACAGTGTCTCCTATATATATATATATATATATATATATATATATATATATATATATATATAATAGTGAAGCTGTACTCCCAAACCATCAACAATGTGCTTGCCTGAACAATACCAGCTTAATGAGAACACCAGATGAGATTTCCATGTGGATGGAGGAAATTTCACATGATCCCAGCCCTAGATGAGGAGCTATAGTGTGATCAGTGGCTGGTGAGAGAGGGACAACCAGTCTCCTGGGATGAGCTGCCTCATAGATTGTAGAATCATAAATGGACATAGTAGGCTTAAACACACACACACACTGCTCTCTCAGTCTTAATTATTCAGGCATTTTCTAATAATCCATGTCTTTCTACGTGGTCATATATTACCAGAGAAAGGGTCTAGAGTTCTCTTACTAGTAGCTTACATCTCAATTGTTCAGCATTTCCACAGAGAAGAGAGAGAAGAGAACATTTCCTGTTTGGCCCCTGCTTATATAGTGTTACTGCCAAGATATGTCACTTCCTACCTGTCTGTACAGATTTCCAGACTTCTATGATTACCTAATAGCAGTTTCTGCCCAGCTACATCACTTACTGGGATCACATGACAATACATCTCTGCCTATACTTCCCAGTATCCTCCTCATATCCTAGTTCCATCTATCTTGCTGCCCTATTGGCCAACAGTACTTTATTCATCAACCAACAAGAGAAACATATACACAGAGGAACATTCCCCATCATCTCCTCTTTTCTGTCTAAATAAAAAGAAGGGTTTTAACTCTAACATAATAAAATATATAACAAAACAGTTATCATGTAAGAACTATAGTTACAATATTTAGTCCACTAACATTTAGCAAGATTAAAAGAAAATATTCTATCATCTATTCTATCTTTGTGAGTCTAAAGTCTTATTTGTAGCTTATCTTTTATCATAACTAAGAAAAACTATATCCATAACTATCTGTGTTCAACTCCACCAGAGACCACAGAAGGATAATATATAAACTTTAAAATTGTCAGAGACATCTTGCTGCCTGTACAGTCACCCAAAAGTTCTTCTGTAATGTTGGGCATCCATCTTCAGCCCATAGGCCATAGTGTTTCTGGCAGACTTCTTAGCAAAGCAGGAAATCTTAAACGGTTCATCTGCTTTGGTAGTTTGTCAGTCATTTTTATGTGTCCTGCAGAATGTCTGGCAGACTCTTCCATAAAGTAGGAATTTTTCAGAAATGTCCATCTTGTTTTGCAAGTCAATTTCTTGTGGGTCTTGCATGTCCAGGTTATACAGCAACAATCAAACAGTCCAAGCAAGAGCGGTTTCTTACTCTAATGGCTAGTTTCACCATATTGAAAGCAAACTCCATAATGAGTTTCTTCGATGCCCATCTTCCTCTCAGACATAATTGGTGATTCCAAGAGTAGTTGTAGCTCACTGTTATGAAAAACCCTAAACCATTTTAAATGCCATATTCATCTCAAATACATCCCTGTATATCTAGAAAATCTAACTAGCCTAACTATAAATTTTGACTATTATAGGTGACTATATACAATCTGTATTTAATTATACATAACATTTTAAAAGACCTGTATAAACATAATATCTAAACGAAAGGATAAATACACATATCACAAAACTGACCGCAAATTTGGATCAATAAATGAAAATCCATGCCAATGCAAAGTATTCATTTCTTTTTTTTATCATTTTTTATTGTAATTTTAAATAGCTTGTTTTACATGTCAATCCCAGTTCCCTCTCCCTCCCCTCCTCCCACACTCCCCTTCCCCCCCTCCCTCCCACCCTATTGCCAAATACTTCCACATAGGGGATATCTAGAGTCTGTCATTTTACTCTTGGTAGGGTCAAGGCACTCCCCTAAGAGTCCAGGCTGAGAGAGCATCTCTCTTTGTGCTATAGGCACATGAAGACAGTTTGTATACCAGGGATAGACACTGATCCACAGCTCAGGGCCCCATAGGTTGCCCAGGCCTTCTCACTGACACTCACATTTGGGGGGTCCAGATCAGTCCCATGCTGGCCTCCCCACTGTCGGTCTGGGGTCCAAGAGCACTCCCCTGTTCAGATCAGCTGTCTCTGCTGGTTTTGCCAGCCCATTCTTTGCCAATTTGCTCATCACTCCTCTCTCTCTGTCACTGGGTTCCTTGGGTTCAGTTCAGTGCTTAGTTGTGTGTTTGCCTCTGCTTCCATCAGTCACAGGATGAAGGCTCCCGGATGGTTATAGACATCAAGTTCATTATCAGGAATGGGCATTCGAGGTGGTCCCTCCACTATTGCTTAGCTTGCCAATTGATGTTATACCTTTAGATCACTCGAGGTCACTCTGGTGCCTGATCTGTCTTTGATCCTATGATTCCCTCTTCCCCCTATTCTACCCCCACCCCCTCAACTTCCTGTTCCCCCATGACCAACTCCCTTCCTCTTTACCCCCTCTATTCTTCCCGGGTCCCACTCCCCCCCACCCATCGCCGTGTTCCCCATCAGAGGATCTTGTCTCCATCCTCTTCTCTTGGGTACTATGCATATATGCATATCTTTTAGGTTCTTTCCTGTTTCCCAGACTCTCTATCTGTGGAAGTGCAGACTGGCACTATCCTGATCCATATCTAGAATCCATATATGAGTGAGTACATACCATGTTTGTCTTTTTGCGACTGGGTTACCTCACTCAGGATGGTTTCTTCCAGTGCTATCCATTTCCCTGCGAATTTCAAGATTCCATTGTTTTTTTCTGCTGAGTAATACTCCATTGTGTAAATGTACCACATTTTCTCTATCCACTCTTCAGTTGAGGGGCATCTAGGTTGCTTCCAGGTTCTGGCTATTACAAACAATGCTGCTATGAACATAGTGGAGCAGATGCCCTTGTTGTATGAACCTGCCTCATTTGGATAAATGCCTAAGAGTGGAATTGCTGGGT